TAAGATAGCTTCCCTACGGATTATCCGCACGGAATTTCGCAACGAGTTTTTATTTTCCGTCGGGGAAACTTTCGTTTGCCATAAGAGTCAGCCTTATAGCGGGGAGTTTCCTTAAGAAGAGTGTTTTTAAAGCGGGGACGACTGTATCTGGGGGGCACGTCAGTCACTCGGAATTATTGCCAGAGTGATCCTGGGAGATGGTGGCAAAATTTAACCGGATGGAGTATATGTAGGCTACTGCTGCTGGTCGGATGGATGTGCATCATCCGGCAGCAAATGGCCGGTATCTTCCTCACGGAAGCAGAACAATACGGTTTGAGTTGAAAAGTGCAACAGAGGTATGTAGCGTGCCATGTTTGCAGTGCCATACTTCCGGATGATTCCGGAGGAAGAATCAGGAAGCAAGCTCAACATGTGCATAACGATTTCGCTCATCTCATTCCCGAAGCAGAACCGTAGGGTGGGGCTAGGTTTGCAAGGCGCCTATCCGAAAGCTGGATCCATGGTTGCATGCAACGTCAGCGAGAGGCTACATATAGAAAAACTTTACGAGGGGAGCTCACCGGATTTGAAAGGACAGAGGCGCAAGACGTAGCTGACCCTGCCAACAAAAAATCAACGACAGGGTGTCGAGGTTTCTTCGTCGGAAGGCTCTCCTGTCGTGGCGCTACCTCTGTCCCGACTGCCGACATCCTGAACCCTGAGCACTCCAGACGCTGTGTTCCGCCTTTACACAGCAGACAGATCAGAAGACGAAATGCGCGCTCGGTTCAATTTTTCTACCGAAACACGAACACGGAAAGAAAAGTGACCTACTCTGGCCTCGCGCTGTTTCTGGCAGGACGGATCTCTTCTCTCTACTCGTAAAGTCTCCGTGCGCCCTACGGCAGTTTGATATCGGCGGGGGGGATCAGCAAGGAAAGTCTGTTTGAACCATAATGCCTCCGTTTTGACGGGGAACATGAGGGTTCGTCCCCGGGTGGATAACCAGCCGGCCAACCAGCTGCCACAGCCAACAACAACTGCTTCACGCACGCGCATTGCATTGGACTTGCCTTGTTAGGGAGACTTGTATTGTTACGAAACAAATATGCAAAGTTCACGGGGCGACTCTGCACTGCACCACACCAATAATAGTAGCTAGTCGTTCTCTGGCAGGGGAGAGAGGTAAGGACCTCTCTGTTTGCTGGCCTGCTCTGCCTGCTCTTCCCCTGCCTCCCCGAAAGAACGTAACAAAATTCGTCCGGAAAAACGGTGGTCAGGTGTCAGATGGTTGTGGTTGCTTGCTGTGGCTGACTCGTGGCTGATGACTTACTTTTTCGAGAATCGCAAAAGGGCGTTGCCGAGCGAAAGTTCAGCTGGCATACACCATACGTACTACGAAGTCAGCTGTTCCAGGTAATGCTTACTTGACCAGTTGTTACGATCCTACAGCAACATTGCAACGCAGCAAGACAGCACAACAGCAGTGTTCGTCGCTCCTCGCGAGGCATATGGCCAAACAGCAAAAAAGACAGAAAAAAAAAAGGGGGATGCACCGCCGGCAACCCCCCTCGGCTATTTTAGTAATCCCGCCGCTTGTCAGTTGTGGCTTCTCCGCACCCCTCACCAGCACAACATTACCCTCCTGCAATCGCCCACAACACAACCCGTAGAGAGCATTGCATTAGTTCCTCTTCACGCTGGGGACAGTTGACGACCCTCCCCGCCGCACCAAACGCGCTCTCCCACATCAGAAGAAAGGTATGTCCGCGCCATTGTCGGAGGAACTCTTAACAATCAAGTGATCAGGCCAAACAGCATCGTGATTCCAACCGGATGAGGCGGACCTCCACCAACATCCTCGCAAGTGCCAACATTGCCAACCAACCTTGACTCCTTCTTCTGGAAGATGTGAGCTCTCATGGGTCCAACCAAGGAGAAACGACGACGGAAACACCCGGTTTCCCAAGACCACGTGCGGTACTTACATTGTCGTGTCACCCAACAGCTGTGTAGTATGCATAGTCTAAGTAGCTGGTTTCATCTGTGAAATCTGATTCCTCTGCTTCTGCGAACCATCAGCAGTGGGCGTGCAAAGCTGCTGTGTTGTTGTATCTGAGGCAGATGAGGAACAATTGGGAACAGATTACATTGTAAGATAACTTGTTGCCTGTGGGCGCAAGCAAGAGCTACCTGTTCTTACGCGCCTAAATAAAGCAAGTCACGATTTTGGCACAAACAGCAGTGGGCAGCTACGAAAAAGTGCGGGCGAGTGCATACAGCAAGCAGTGTAGGCAGGCGATCGATTGCTCCGAAGACGGTTGTATCGAAACCTGACCAACACGTGCTAGGGAAGCTCGCGAAGTCATCCTCTATCCAATATACCGCCCTTTTCGGTTTTCGGCATTTGACAGCCTCTTGGTTGTGGAGCAGCCGATCGATCACACATCTGTGTGCGGTCGCCCGCACTTTGCTGTAGCCCACATCAATACTTCGATGTTCTTGGTGATGAGCTTGTAGCGGTAGCGCGTCGGGCTGGACCGATCTGGAAAGCTACCGCAGGTGCTTGCCGTGAGGAGCAAAATACAACCTCTGCTATGTGCGAGAGATAGAACAGCAGTTCTGCGTGCTGTTACCCGACTCGGTGACCCTCCAAACAATGAGATTCAACATGTCTTGGATGTCTCTGTTGCTGGCGGACTCCAAGGCCATGTTTGATAGTTATAGATGAAAGTGAGAAAGAGGCGCACTGGCCACCTTTCGATCACTACGCACAAAAAATATCTAGACTAACTACCTGCTGTTGCGGACCCTCTGCATAGTCATCCGCCGATGTTGAGGTTCCCCCGAGAACTGCAGTACATTCAACTCGTGACCGTACGCTGACAGTCCCGTAGAGGAATTATGTCACACAACGTTGCCTTTACTCTATTGAACTGAAAGTTGTGCTAGCTACCATTGCTGTACCATGGTATGCTACAGAATATACTACCACACTCATGCTATCTTACGATGTGGCTTGGGCACTAGCCTACTATTATAATAGTGTTGTCTGAATACGGATCCCCGACATATGTCTTCTTCGGACTACATGTAAGTATTCCCGGGAGAATTGGGGCGTGTACAACATAGGACGAGATGGAAAGGCGAGAACGGCTCGTAGCGCGAAGAGGAAGGGAGAGGAGAAATGTATGTAGAAGACAGAGAAACATTCAAGGCGCAACTTCGGAAGTCGCACGTCAGGGTAGGATTAGACTCGACCCTAAGCGGAGGATGGATGGAGCGAAAAGGCTCAACAGGACGACTCCTCGCATGTGGCCGAATCTGTCTTTATGTTGGACGAGGTACATGGAAGTTTAGTCGAACGGGGAAAAGTCCCCAACAACAGACAAATGCTGGCACTGACCTGCACAAGAAGCAGGAATGGTTCTCCTTGTTACTGTTCTCCTTCAGCGCATGTGGTCATGGTCAATTACGGAGCGTCAGAGGAGTATCGCCCCACCCCTTGTTGCCATGCCCTCTTTCTTGCATGATCCAGGGCAAGAACGTATTCTCAAGAGGGTCACGGGTTGCCAAGCGCGGGATATATCGCCTCGGATGATCGTGTCTCACGAGTAGCGATATGCGAGAACGGTCACGCCCAGACCACCCTCGGTCATGTCAAAGCCGACGGTTCTGTTTTCGGAGAAGGAATCTGGGCGTCACGGTGCTGTTGGCCGCAGCAGGGACGGTCGGGTGCTGGGGAGTCTCTGCGTTCCGCCGACGATATTACCCCAGGGATGCGAGGGAAGCGCCCCTGCGGTCGACGGAGGCGCGCGATGAGAAGAGTACGGAACAACGTTTGCTACAGTGCTACTCCACCCCCGAGGCCGACCCGTTCGAGGGAAGGTGGCGAAGCTGCGCCAACGGTGTTGAGGATTCCCCTGCCAACATGGTCGGCTGGGAGTTTCCAACCTCGGAGTTCGGCTTTCTCGCAAAGTAAGAAGATTCTTGTTGTGCAATGCTCTTGCTGTGCTTTTGGGACATGGAACACAAATCGGCAACAATAAACAGTAGAGTATTTTTTTTTCCCGTTGTTCTGGCTCCAAGGTCGCGCACGGAAATATGTGGTTTCGAGTCGCAGATTCGAGCCACGTTTGGTTTGTTTCCTCCATATTTTGCTCTCGAAGCTTCCTTCCGTATGTGCCTGTTTTTTGTCGACCTCGGTTTATTTTCCGCCCCCAAGTGTAGGGACCGCAGGTTCATGTTCTCGTACCTTGCGGCGTCAACCACTTGAATCTTCCCAATTGTTGCCAGATCTCAGTCAGCTGGATGTTTCTTCTCCCATACTTGCCAGAAGCAGCTAATATGGGTGCCTCCTAACTCCTCGCTGGCATTGAGAGTCCGGATTTTTACCAAGTTTCCCTCTCTTGTAAAAAAATAGTGTTCCAACCGAACCATTGGGATGAATACTCCAGGATTCGAAGCTGGCCCTCGTAGCCGCCGACACGTTGCTCCATCGACTCTGAGCTACTGAGACATGTAACTCTCCTGCGATTGTGTTTTGTGTTGTAGTGCCATCGGCTTCGTTCGTGCCACAGCATCACCATTTCCTGGACGTTCGCACTTCGTGCTCTCGGGACACTGCCTGACTGACCCGGACGTGTGACGAAACGTTATTCGGCGTCATCCTTTATCCTCACATGCCCCTTCAGTCACGGCGGGCATATGTTTTCATCGCACGGCCGGCCGCCCCGGTCGTGTAGTGGTAACTTCGAAACCGCTAGTGGCGAAGTCGTGAGTTCGATTCCCCATGGGCTGAAACATGTACAAATTTGCGGGTGAAAGCGAAAAAGCTGAAAAGCTCGTGAGTAGCAAACTTCGTCGTTGGCGCCGTTGACGAGGGAAAGGGACGGCTGGACCCTTCTCGCGCTAAAAACAAATAAACAACTTTAGCACGCACCGCAGGAAGAAGGTGGGGCACGAAAATAAAAATATAATACAGAAAGTCCCGGTGTTCAACCCCTCCTGTGTGACCCTGGACGGTTGTAGTTGTAAGAAAGAGTACACTGAAGAGTGTAGTTCACCNAATATAATACAGAAAGTCCCGGTGTTCAACCCCTCCTGTGTGACCCTGGACGGTTGTAGTTGTAAGAAAGAGTACACTGAAGAGTGTAGTTCACCTCTCACCACGAAAAATGGGGGGACTGTCGCCACAATAAATAGGACGAAAACACACTATCAAATACACTCTTGCGCTTGTGTGTTCTCTTTGTGGACGCCCTGTCCAGGCATTTGCGACCTCTCACCGTACCGCAACATGCGCTTGTTGTGCGCTACGAACGTTGTAGCGAATCCGGAAATACGTCGTTTTCCTGCTGCATGTGCTTTACATTTGGTATCACGACATATGGTACACCCTATACAGGATATTAAAACATGCTAGATTACCGGAGCGCGTGTATGGATGTGCACACCATTGTGAACCTTTGGTGGATTCGTTCGCCGTGGCGGGTTCAGGCACCCTGTATCGAACCCTCTACCTATGGCGTGTATCAAGGCATGATGCGACGATGCTCATCCTGGTTCTTTGAAACGCACCAAGAGCAATTGTAACCGTCCGTATGTTCTGTGGCCACGTCACAACGTGGCTGTTTAACTGGGACGGAACCGAGCGAGCACAGGTGCCAGAATATTTGGAATAAACGGAAGCGAGTCGAGGGCGAAACTGGTCCCAGACCGTACTGGGCGTGGGAACCCACCAAGTGTTCGCTGGACGCCGTGAGCGAAGAGAAACTCTGCCGAGTCTTGGAGGGTAGAAAAGGTCTACTTCTCGTCGGTGAGGTGCAAGTTACGAAGCGCAGTATAACGTATGGGAGAGCCTAATCGCGCACCGACGCAACCATCTTGCAAAGGCACCTGATGCTGCACGCCAGTCCGACTCCATTTCTAGACGAGGCGGAAGCACACTCAGGAAATCGGTGCGCCTGTTGTTTGTTTTCTTCCAACAGGGCTCGTTCCTCTTGTTACTTATGATGTCAATGTTATCTGCAGTCTCGGTCAACCAATGTAAGGTTTTGCCTATTGACATTGTGTGGAGCGGACAATGCTGCCAATATGCGTTCGTCGCTCGTTTTACTTTGACCAACAACCCCCCTCCCCCCTCCCGTCGTTCCGCCTATCATTTGCTCCCCCACGCCCCTACTGTTTCCTGAAGGGGACAGTCTGACGCGACTTTCCACAACAACGCTGGCGTCCATCCTGCGCGCCAAGTCGCTCACTGCGGACTTGTACAAGGACGACTGGGAGGCGTGCGGGGGGAAGGTGAAACTGCGCTTTATGCGCAATGACGTGCTCGATACGCGCACCAAGCCCCGCTACCGCTCAGTGCGGTGCGAGGAAAGCGTCGGGGGAGCATTGGTGAACAACACCCGCTGCCGCATTTTCGCGACCGACGCAACGCTCCGGGAGTTTGACACCTTGGTGGTTAACAGCGGAGCGCACCCAAGGCCGGCTGCGGAGTTTGGTCGGGAAATGGAGGCCTCCGCAAAGGCCCTCACGAGCTCGATGAAACGGTTACACGGGGAGGACAAAGCGATTCTGGTGGTTAGGAACACCGTCCCGGGGCACTGGGGTTGCACCGAGAGGTGGGAGCCGGAGGAAGGGAGTGCATGGTCTTGTGAACATCCTTGTTTTTCGGAGGCTCCGTCGTACGTACCGTGCCGCATGGGTGATCATTTGAGTACACGGCACTCAATCCTTGCACCGGAGGTTGACTACAGCAGGAATCACGAGGACTTGATATAGCGGATGAAGGGGCTTTGACTGGTTGTCGATTTTTTTTATCGATGTGAAGTACGCACACTGGCTGAAGCATTGTTTTGGATTTGCTTGTGTGCGAGAGCCGTGTGCGGCAGGTTCCAATGCACGATGTAATGTTAGCCTTCCACCGCCGTCGTCTTGTTTGTCCCGGAATCAGTAACACGCCCCCACCATTATGACGGTTTCTTTGGTTCGAATTCCTCCGCACGTGTCCGCTGGCGATTTTGCACCCCGTAGTTCCTGGTGTTTCGTGTTAGCGACTTCCTCTCACTTCCTAATGCTTCATGTATATTTCGATGCCATGATAATGATGTTGAAGGTGGCGTGGCTTCCAGAGAAAAACTGGCAGCCCTTCGCGTTCTCCGCTAGAGCAAACCATTTCGAGTCATTCGCCATACGCGCTCAAACTTGTTGATGCCGTTTTCCGTGTTGTAAACCCTACACCCGCCGTTACTTCCGCGCACCTCGCCCCTGTCGTACGTCGTCAATTACACCCAATGTGCATCGCCCACCGGTGTCGATTATGGGGGGTTTCAGAATGTTTGATGCGCCCGTCAATAAAACCATCGCCTTGAAGCTCGTCGCAGAGGCTCCCGATTCGTACGAGTGGGATAGCTTCGAAAGCCGCAACGTCCAGCTGCAGAAGGCCTTTTCGCCTGACAGGGGTTGGACACTGCTCGACGCTTACTCGCCGACCCTTCTAAGGCCGGACTCCCATATCGGAAACAGTGACTGCCTTCACTACTGCATCCCGGGCCCTGCGGATCATTGGGCGCTTCTGCTGTACAACATTCTGCTCGTGGCCAAAAACGACAGCGCGTAAGCGCCGCGGTACAACATCCTGCTGGAAAGGGAGGAATCTTCACGGGGAAAGGAAAAGAAGAAGCGCGAGATGCTCGCCTACTCGTCTGATGCTTCTCCCGTGGCCAGACTTGATCGGTGTTTACAGGCGGCATCGGTTGACCGTGGTACGGCGTGCTCTGCACCGATCGTGCCACCTACGCATGTTTCCTGTTCCGCATGCTGCTAGCTGCTGCGTGACAAGAGTGACGGTGGGAAAGGGCAGGAAAAGTACTCGGTTAAGGGAAGGAATGCGGGCGGCGTAGAACAAGCCCGTCCCGAAAGTGACCTGGCGCCCCCAGTACGGCACTCTTACAGCAGCTGCCGTCATGCGGTGAATGGGCGCGAAGGTGTAGGCAACCATCCGTGCCGCAGCAATTAATGCCCTATTATTCAATGGGTGCCCAACAATGTAGGGCCGAAAAGCAGTGAGCGGTGAGTGACCGAGGACCTGGCATGCAACGTTTCTTTGGCATCCAACGGGTTAGCGATATTTTCGATTCCAACGCTTGGCGATGGACGCACTATCGTGGCACTCGATGCGTGGTGGGAGAATTGGATTTGATGGTAGGGAGACGTTGGCCAACACGGAGGAGTTGTAGCTGAAGCAGACATTGTTAACAAGGCGTGGCAAGACTTGGTAGTGCCACAGCAGCTTCGTTGTTTTGACAGCCCGAAGGACAAGCGGTGTCGAATATCCTCCAAGCGTTGAGTTTGACAGAGGTACACGGCAATGTGTAGAAATATTCCCTCGACGGGGTGTTGCGCTTTCGAACGCACGTAAAAGTCGAAAGCCGCTCCAGAAAATGCAACTAGCATGTTGTCGAGGATAGGAATTGTTAGTTTCTGCCCCAGTTACAGCGGAACGCAACGGAGGTAGTTGCAAGGTCCCAAGATACGCGTTGCTTGGCTGGTGGACGCACCTGTATGATCTTGATGATGTAACGTTTTTTCTACGGGTATTTGTTCTCCGGCATTGGGGTGGAAGATATCTTCCCCGAAGATATCTTCCCCGACACCAGTACATGAGCGTTTTGGCTGCTTCTTTGAGAAGCACATTTGTTGTGCAGTTTCGTGAATATCACTTCATCATTCCTTGTTCCGGGGGCTGAAAGCGTACCATCAACAGTTGCGCACTACGAGCGCCATTGGGCCTTCGATCGTTAACCTTAGTCTATGCACGGGTGTCTTGAACGCGTTGCCTTGACGGTGTTTTGTATTCGCGTTGGGCGAAGGAAACTATATGTTGCTAACTGAAACTTTCACACTTATGTGCGCCATCGTCCTCCACGGCAAAGACTTCCCGCCGGATTGGGCCGCATAAAGGAATTAGGGTGAAAATGCTGTCTACAGAAATTATCGATGATGTCAAGATTTAGGTTTGTAGCTTCAGCCGGAGCGGGTTCGATCTGTTAAAAAGACGTCCTTTCTCACGATTTTGTTGCCGTTGGTCGGAACGGTGTGCAAGTGTTTAGACACAAGGGGGTCATGTCACTAGAGTACTGTAAGTGAACCGCCATATTAGTGATGTGTGACTTGTGGAGTTATCGCTGAATTTGCGACAGAGCTCACGGCCCTGAGTCAGGCCGCAAATGCTGCACTCTTAGCTGTCGGGGATCCGAGCAACTGCGTACATTGATTGTCCCCTTCTTGATAGGCGCATACGCAGTGGCATCACAAAAGGGTCTAACCACTCAGGGCGGGGACTCAAGCGGGCGGTGTCGCAGGCCCTCGGAAAAGACAAATGATGAGTAACCTGTACCAGTCAGGTACTGATGACCAGAGATTGGCACATCTGGTTATGAAAAGACATCCGCAGCAATGACGCCGGAGAGGCTCCAAAGTACCCGATCGAGAATATGCCAGGAAAACGACTGGCACAAATTTTCATCGTGACAATGTCATGTCGATGTGAAGTCAACAAAAAATGACCTTTCGATCATGTGCCCTTCCGCAGAAGTATGTACGTGTGTTTCTTCTGATCACCGAGCAACGGACAGCCAGTAGCGATCCCCCCTGTGGGTAGCGGGGTCAAATGAAAGGAAACTGTTCTAGCTGGCGGCACTTTGTAGCACAGACGGTGTTTAGTCTATGGTGGCACCAGGTGTTTAAAACAGGGAAAACACTTCTGCCTTGTTTTGCGGTGGAGATTGTGTCATTGAAGAACACAGCAAGAAACTCACATCCCGCTTTCGTATTATGGGGATTGCGTGTGTACCCCAGCACGTAGCAGCAGAAGCTGACGCCCACCAGCGCTAGTCGGTGTGATAGCTCGTGGAGCTTGTAGCAGCAGCACGAGCAGTACTTCAGTGCAGAAGAAGATGGAGAGATGTTGTAAACACGGCGCTTATATGGGCAACACAGACATATACACCAGACAGACTGTTGTAGTCCAGGCAGTATGCTGCCAGCAGCATCTAAGGTACGACAAGGGCAGCTGAAGAATAAAGTACCCAGACAGTCCGAAGATCACAGAGAGATCCCAGAGATTGAGGTCGTGCACTTCTCCCTTCTTCCCCTCGCTCCTCGACAAGCTTTTGCTTAGACATGGGTTGTAGTGAAGGGGGGGGTCTTTCTGGCGAGCAGGGCTAGACTCACCCTCAAGGGATGACCGAAACCTTCTTGCTGCTGCGCATATCCGCCGCGAGGCATGCGCGTGGTGGTGTAGTTGGGTCGGCACT